TGTATGTATGTATGTATGTATGTATGTATGTATGTATGTATGTATGTATGTATGTATGTATGTATTTATGAATGTATTTATAGCAGAGATGGGTATTTAAAAATCCATGAATCAAATGTCGAATAAGCTAACTCGATTCCGGTATGATTCTTCTGATTCAATATCCTTCTTTTTGTTTTGCTTCTTTTTATAGTTAGCGGGATCGTTTCGTTCATCAGCATCGACGGTGCTACTGCATATTTTTTTCTCATCCTTCGTTTCATCTGGCTTGCTATTCGATCCAATTTCCTTGTTTTTCTGCTTCTCAACATCGTCACAGACGCCAAGTTTATTTATAGAATTCGTCATCGCCAAAGATGCACTGGAAGATGACGTCGAAGTACCACTGCCCTTCTTGGACTCAGTCGCCCACCAAACTGGGCCTGATATTTGGCAGCCATTGGAGGGTCCAAGGGTAGAAAGAGCATGGTGACGCTGAACATTGGAATAGAAAGTAGATAAAGAGCTAGTCCACAAAGCATAGCTTGCTTTTGCAAGACAGCTATGACGGAAAGACGGATCAACAAGGCGCTCAGTCATAGGTATTCTAAAACAAAGATGTTTAAGGCATAGTAATATGAGATTAAATAGATAAATAGGAAAATAATGAGAAATATATTACCTAGAAACGCTATCTGGTCGAGATGCCTCCGGAATATCAGAGGAACTATGAGGTTCATTGAGACAAGTTTCAGAAGAATAAGCTTCCAGGCAAATGACAAGGAAAAAGTAAACACACCTCAGTTATTTTTTAATCTGATAAAAAACTTGTTTGATAAGAATATGAATGTTTTTATATTTATTTTTAATCGAATTTTAAAGAGGAACTCAATCTTATTAAGATTAATTAATTAGATTTAAAAATAAATATGAAAATAATTCATAAGGATCAGTCATCACAATAAAAATGATTCATATGCGAAGAAGGCACAAAATAAATTAAATACTAAGGTTAATTAAGAAGGGATTAATTACTACTACACCAAAAAATGAATGAAAGTGGGAGTGGAAAGACTTAAAAGCAAATCACAATTTAACAAGTGCCAAAAATAAGAAGTCTTAGCTTGTGGTAGTTAGGAAGTTGATTCTTCTCAACGAATAAGTGGTAAAAAGTAGCAATATTCTATCAAACTTATATTAATAAATAATAGTAGTGATATTACTAGTGTGCATTCTATAACGAATGTATTGAAGACTGTAGCCTGTTATAATTCTAAAGAAGTTGAGTATATACATACTTGTGTGCGAATGTGGCTTTTCTGAGCTTCCTGTTTCAAAGGAAGCCGCATCTGTGGTTTTCCTGCAGATAATTGGCTGAAGGAGACGATCAATTAGGGCTAATGAGGCTCCACCGTTTCCAGCTAGGGTGGGAACGGAAAAACCACCGGTAAGGCAATAAACGGCTTGCGCCAATATCGCACCCAGTGAATGAGCCAATGAGGGCCAACATTTATCAGCTTCGGTTCCATCATTGTCCTCGTAACTTTCATTAATATCATCCTCGCAATCCCCCTCTATTAGGACCATCTTTTTATTTAGCTCCCCTTTAAACACTCGCTTAGAGCATTGTTTGGTATCTAGTGGGGCTTCTTGATTGATTAGATGGTCATGAAGCTCCTCGCTTAAGTATGATTCACAAACTTCCTGCTGAATCATCCGTTGGCTCTGCAGCTTTACAACAAAAGGTAAGGAATGTTTTAAATCTTGCTTTGAAGTAGGCATTACTGGTATGGTCTCAATATGAGATGGCATAGAAGATGGTTCCGTCTCGCAATCATTAGAGTCGCTATCTGCAGAAAATAAAGGGAAGCCAAAAATATCTGAATTTAAAGTACATAAATAAAGGTATTGAAATAAAAATG